TGTACGATTGCTCTGATGCCTAGGCAATTTTCACAGCTTGCTCTGATGCCTAGGCAATTTTCACAGCTTGCACCACCATGGCCCAAAGAGGCGCGAACGAATCTGCGTATCGTTTCGTAAAATGGGGCGGGCGTGGAGTCGCGTAGACGAGTCTGCAAATCCTTCTAATGGATGTATGTTTTTCAGAGGTGAAGTGGCCCATCATTTGCATTTTCGATGTCACGTCCCTAAGGGGCGGGGCGTTCTGCTCCCGCATTCGGTGTGCGCAGATTAGGCCCCTCCGTTCATACACCGCGGTTGATGCGATGGCTCTAATGCTGAAAGTAAAGCATAGGTATCGATCTGGAAGGAAAAGCGGCAATGCGATTATGCGGTTTGACGATTTCGCGATAATGCTGAACGTTGTGGGTGCGTATCGACTAAAAAGGCTCCGCCCAATAAGCGTTCATCGATGCCACGAGTAGATGACAAAGCGATTAAACGATATAGCGATTTAGCTATAATGTAGACGACAAAGCGATTATGCGATGAAACGATATAGCGATTTAGCTATAATGCTGAAAGGGACAGATGCGAATCGATTGAGGTGGCTCCGTTCAACGAGCGCAGATGCGATCATGCGATTATGCGATTGAATTTGGCGAGTACATCGTTTGGCGATTTTCCAGTGAAGATTGGATACATATTGAATAAGTGACAAAAACAGCACTCATCGAGCGGCAAACCGTTAAAAGTGTTGCGGCGCGTGCGCACTTCGCTAAGTCGCTATTTTGCCTTCAGCGCTATATCGTTTTTTCGTCAATACCGCGGTGTATGAACGGGGCCTTATCGCGTTCGATATGCGCTTAATCATTTTTACAAATTCCAACATCTGTGGATTCGAAAACTGTGAGCATTGGAAGAGACCTCTTCCTTCACCTGGCTAATTATTTAGAAATCGAGCATATTTCTCTCCCACTTCACTGGTTTTGCAACCTATTTTAAATTGAACTGATATTTTTGTACATATGAAAATGAATGTTCCAAATATTTCTGTTTTCATTTGAGCACTGTTATCCGCACAATGCGCACAATCTTTTCAAACGCAAGGTGGCTTCTGCCATAGAAAAACTTAAAATAGTATTCAGGTTTCTGCACGATGAAGAAAAATTTCATCTTGCACGCAGATTTATAGCAAGTCATATTAGGAAGTACTGCATGCAACAGTCATTACTCCGAAATAGGTTCACAAAGAGGGTTAAATTTCTCTGCTACTCCGGAGGTTTCAGAGGTGATCCAAAACGTAGAAGGCAAGTTTGTGCACAAACTTTATACGTAAAACAATATGTACTTGCTCCCAACTTGCGAACATCGGTTTAATGTAGAGAAAAGAATCATTGCAACATTTATAACAAAACAACATGCACTGAAAACAACTTAGAGCTCAATCGGTTTAACGTGCTGACGAAGTTCGGTTGCAATTCGATCCAAATCCTTTCTTCCCTATAAACAATTCAAATAGCCCACAGCGACGAATTTGGACATTGATGCAAAAAAAAACGGTGACCTCACCACAAATACTTGTTCCCTCATTGAAAATAACCTATAGTCTGATAATGGCTGCCCAAAATAACAAAAATGTTTTAGATCTAGGAAACGAATTACATTACCTGCTTTGACAAGACTCGACCCTTGCCATCTGCATGTTTCTCAACCCATTTGATAGCTTCGAGGGTCTGCAAGGCCTTGCGCACTACGGAGCCGGATCCTTTCTTGAAATGGTTAGGTCGAGAACCGCGTCCTTTCTTTCCACCGAAAACAGTGCGCAAAGCACCAACTCCTGCAAAATCAGGTGTGCGATTAACTTTTACCGGTAACTGCCATAAAATCGGAGAGCATTAACACTTTGGTGACCGCCGGGATATGAGAAGAGGCAATCAAATCCCTTGCAGGCAACTAATATTCCCTCACCATCTGCATCGCCCACTACTACGCCAGAATTGCGCGAAACTCTTCCCATTGTGCACTCGAATCAAATAAACCCCATAAAAATTCAGCGATTTTCTACATAAAACAGCCTCTACTCCAAAATTACAGATGTTTGCAGCCCAAACCGACTTCTGATTGACTCAGTGTTGAAGGTACTTCCAATCATACAAAAAAGGCTCACCAGCTGGAGATCGAATGTAGAGACGTCTAGCAATGCTGGCGGTGCGAATGTAGTACCAATCAGGATCAACGGGAGCAAGCTGCCGATTAGTTCCAAGTTTGACGATGTCTGACCACTCGGGAACCTTCACCTTGCCACTCTTTTTGAGGAAGTGAGCGATTTGCTTCACAGCTTCATGCTGGTCCACGTCTTTTACGCTGGTGGCTTTCACCATATTACCTGCAAAAGAAAGGCATCATTGATCAAAGAGAAATTACGGAGACTGGCGACGGATTTGCTCTGAAGCCGACAGTTCTCAATAGCTACAAATGGGTGGTTGATACGCAAGGTTGATGCGTTGGAGGTGCAAAGCTGACCTCTGACCAGTACTAGCGGCCCAATGAAACCTGACCACGCCACGAAACCCATTCACACACTTCATCTCAGGCCATAACTATATAATGAGCAGCTTCACAACTTGTTTGAAACCCGTTTAAGATACAGCCAGCATTCACCATTCCTTGCAGAAAACGTCATAATGTTGGTCGAAAAGTTCCCGGTAGTATTCGTCTGTGAAAAC